ATGTAGACCAATTTAAAAAACGGGACTTAATATTAAAAATCTAAATACACGGCTAGATTTGGAATATCAAAGAACCCCAATAATTCAATTTTTGATGAAATCAAACAAAGTTTAATTTTGGACCCTTTTGACCTCAATATGAACCAATTTGATAGCGGGGCCCACAAATAAAAAATCTAAATACATGGTTAGATTCAGCATATCAAAGAACCCCATATATTCAATTTTTGTTGAAATCAAACAAAGTTTAATTTTGGACCCCAATTTGGACCAACTTGAAAACTGGGCCCATAATCAAAAATCTAAATACATGTTTAGATTCAGCATATCAAAGAACCCCATATATTCAATTTTTGTTGAAATCAAACAAAGTTTAAATACTGGACCCTATCTTGGACCAACTTGAAAACTGGGCCCATAATCAAAAATCTAAACACATGTTTAGATTCAGCATATCAAAGAACCCCAAGAATTCAATTTTTGTTAAAATCAAACTAAGTTTAATTTTGGACCCTTTGGACCTTAATGTAGACCAATTCAAAAAACAGGACCCAAAATTAAAAATCTAAATACACGGTTAGATTTGGAATATCAAAGAACCCCAATAATTCAATTTTAGATGAAATCAAACAAAGTTTAATTTTGGACCCTTTTGACCTCAATATGAACCAATTTGATAACGGGGTCCACAAATAAAAAATCTAAATACATGGTTAGATTCAGCATATCAAAGAACCCCATATATTCAATTTTTGTTGAAATCAAACAAAGTTTAATTTTGGACCCCAATTTGGACCAACTTGAAAACTGGGCCAAAAATCAAAAATCTAAATACATGTTTAGATTCAGCATATCAAAGAACCTCATGTATTCAATTTTTGCTAAAATCAAACAAAGTTTAATTTTGGACCCTTTGGACCTTAATGTAGACCAATTTGAAAACTGGACCCAAAATTAAAAATCTTAATACACTGTTAGATTCGGCATAACAAATAAATAAATGTGATCAAAGATTTTACAAATCTAATGTGCCATACTGTGCAATTAAAGATTACTTCTTGAAATTTTTCAATATTTGAAATTTGAAAAAAAAATAATATTTGAAGAATAATTCTTTTTAATTGCTGAAATCTGAAATGAGAAAAAATTGACCCCCCACAATTTCTTTTTATCCCCCCCCCCCTTTTTTTCCCCAAAAATTTCTTTCCCTCAAGATATGGTCATAACCTCAATTCAAATTTCCAATGGAGTTGGCAACCATAATTACCCATTTAAATTTACCATTACTACATTAGCATAATTACTGCTAAAATAATTCTCAGTATGATATACCTCTTGTAAGAAATCATTATAATTGTAGCAATCACCAAAAAATCTCACACAGATCACATTGAATCGTAATCCAAAAAATTATGACGTCTTCAATTAACCACCCCCTTTTATTCTAAAACGATAATTGCGGTTGTAAACATACTTTGTTTTATTCGCATGGCGATTACATATATAACTATATATTTCAAAAAGAAAATAGAGTTTTACCATGAATAGTTTCCTGCACGTAGTCTTTTTCAGTAAAATGTGCCTTGCAAACAACAGCTGATAAAAATTTGAGATGGACTCCACGATTTCATCGTGTTCTCGTCCAATCTACGTTTGGGCCATGGCGTTGATCCAACTTTTCCTTCTTTTTAAGTCATTTAATTTGGAAATGCATGACCTCCTCTTAAATGACATCCAGGAACACAACAACAAGTACTTGGCATCGTTAATTAAAAATGTAACTGAAATAGTTGCAGTGCAGAAACCGGAAGTTTGAGGAACAGGATCGGCTACCACGGCGCCACCTATTCAGGAACGATAATTTGCTACTTTATATAACTGCGAAATAACAATAACGTTACAGACGGGTTCACGTGCATAGACAGATATGCGCTTTAAATTGTATAATATAATTAATGTTCAGTCGACTCTTAATTATTATATCAACGACTGAAATGATTTATAAACATCTAGATTGCAGATAACACTCGAAATTAACCCGAGCTCTTTCCACACGGAATTCAAATAATTCTAGTTTGTCAATCGGTTGACTGCTTATAATGCAAAATACAAATATATCAAAAGTTTTTAAAACTAACAAAACACAAGGATCGTTTCTCTATTTCCCAATGTAAATGAAATGAAACAAAAAACATTTTATATCACAACATTTCCGGATCTACTTGGAGCCTAATGACCCCCCACGTAGATAAGTTGGATATCGCGGAAGGAAGGATTAACCCGGCAACTAGAAAGGCATTAAAGCACTGCCTTTAAAAATCTAAATACATGGTAAGATTCAGCATATCAAAGAACCCCATATATTCAATTTTTGTTGAAATCAAACAAAGTTTAATTCTGGACCCCAATTTGGACCAACTTGAAAACTGGGCCAAAAATCAAAAATCTAAATACATGTTTAGATTCAGCATATCAAAGAACCCCATATATTCAATTTTTGTTGAAATCAAACAAAGTTTAATTTTGGACCCCAACTTGGACCAACTTGAAAACTGGGCCCATTATCAAAAATCTAAACACATGTTTAGATTCAGCATATCAAAGAACCCCAAGAATTCAATTTTTGTTAAAATCAAACTAAGTTTACTTTTGGACCCTTTTGACCTCAATGTGGACAAAGTTGATAACGGGGCCCAAAAATCAAAATACATGGTTAGATTCAGCATATCAAAGAACCCCATATATTCAATTTTTGTTGAAATCAAACAAAGTTTAATTTTGGACCCCAATTTGGACCAACTTGAAAACTGGGCCAAAAATCAAAAATCTAAATACATGTTTAGATTCAGCATATCAAAGAACCCCATATATTCAATTTTTGTTAAAATCAAATAAAGTTTAATTTTGGACCCTTTGGACCTTAATGTAGACCAATTTGAAAACTAATTGAAAATCTAATGCGCCATACTGTCCAATTAAAGATTACTTCCTGAAATTTTTCAATATTTGAAATTTGAAAAAAAAAAAATATTTGAAGAATAATTCTTTTTAATTTCTGAAATCTGAAATGAGAAAAAATTGACCCCCCACAATTTCTTTAAACCCCCCCCCTTTTTTTCCCCCAAAAAATTCTTTCCCTCAAGATATGGTCATAATCTCAATTCAAATTTCCAATGGAGTTTGCAACCATAATTACCCATTTAAATTTACCATAGTGCTAACTTAATCTAATTTATAATAGAATTTAATATATAGTGTCAAATCTTTCATATGGATTTTGTTGTAAAAAAAAAAGATGCAACATTTGCAGATATTTTTACTGGTCTTCCTTTATAAATATGCATTTCTTTAAACATAATTTAAAAGCAGTGTAAGGGAAGTAACCAAAACGTTGTATTTGGATTACCTCCCTTACACTGTTTTAAATTATCTTAATTGTTCATTAACCATTACTTTATACATAATTTAAAAGCAGTGTAAGGGAGATAATTTCAATGATGTATTTGATTTATCTCCCTTACACTGCTTTAAATTATGTTTTGTACTAAAGTATTTGTCCATTAACCAGGACAACCTTGTTTTTCCCCCTTTTTTGCCCCTAATTCTTAAACGGTTTGAGCCATAACCCCCCAAAGCAAATCCTAACCATCCCTTTGTGGTATGGAAACTTGAAGTATAATTTCAGAGAGATCCATACACCGTTCCACAGTTATTGTCTGGAAACTAGAAAATGCTTATTTTTGGCCCCTTTTTGGCCCCTAATTCCTTAACTGTTGGTACCATAACCCCCAAAATCAATCCCCACCTTCCTTTTGTGGTATTGAACCTTATGGTAAAATTTCATAGAGATCGATTCACTTAAACTAAAGTTAGAGTGCGAAAACTAATGCGTCTTCGGACGACGACGCCGGACGACGACGACGACGACGACGCCAACGTCATACCAATATACGACCACAAAAATTTTTTTGCGGTCGTATAAAAAGGGCAAAAAAAAAAAATATGAATAAAATGTTTAAAGGAAACACATATATGTTGTCGCTTTTTTAATTGATGAAATGTCATTAAATAACGGCATTTGGTTTCAAAATGGAAGTTTTATTTAAATCATGACGTTTCTGGTATGTATACGCACATAAGATGTCCGGCGTTGAACACGACATGACGTCGAAACGTAGCGAAAAAGGTGAAAAGGCTAAATGGAAAACTTGACTTATTTTTTTTACTAAACCCGTTTCAACAGAAACGAAAGGTTCTTCTGCAGAACCCATTTCCCAACAATCCTTGCCAGAGTCTGAGAGAATAAATCATGATAGTGAAAAAGCAAATGCAAGCTTCATCTCAGTTTCGACCTCAAAACCCAACACCGCTCCGTACCCAGAAATGTCAAGCCTCCACAATTTCAATTTGCAGATGACAGAAGTTAAGATGCAATTACTAACATCCAACTAGAAAGATGTAAATAATTTTGACTTCCCGGCGAGGTATGTTGATTTTAATTCTTCCAAGTTACTATAAGTGTGTAAAACATTTCCCAAAATCATGGAATAGCATATGCCAGGGGTAACTCTTCGGATTTGAAGGGGTATGCTGAAATTAATTTAAAATTGTGTCCAATTCATTAGTTGATATGAAAATCCCTTCCCCGTAAAACAGTCAATTTGGAAAAGTACACATGTCCTAAATTAAATTGTTAATAACAGACCCGAATTATTATTATACTAAAGATTGTGTAAATGACAACGTTTAAACCCGAATTTATCGTAACCCAGTGCTGTATCCTTCTGTAGATACTATTTTGAGTATGATGTTGACAATGCACCCCGATAACAAGTGCTACCGCGGAGAGATCGTTCAGTGTACATCATTGTAGTCTAGCTACGCCCCTGCCTGTGAGTGGGCTAACAAGACCGGACGGACGGACGGACGCCTGGTATTTCCATCCCTCTCGCAACGCGTTACGCGGGGGGACAAAAAAATCCATGTTACAAGGGAAGATGTAATTTTCTATTCTTTTATTTTCTAGGATTCTGAGTTCCGAACTTCGATGGGAGACATAAACTGTGTCCCCTTTTCCCTAAGGAATCATATTTTTGTATACACTGCTCTTTGTCAATTTAATCACTCCATGATCCATCATAACTTGATTCAAAACTGTCATAATCTTCTTCGCTATCACTGTCTGTGGTAATTTCATTACACTGATTTTCACGGTAACTCACCCATACAAATTTTAAACACGTAATTCCAAGATATCCCTGGGCCATGACGACCTTGCCATCGAAGGAATGTAAATAACTTACTTCATCGTCATACAATGATGCAGTTATTTCTGATCCACCAGAGCCCCCAAATGGACCTAACTCTCGTCCAAAATTGGTGAAAAATTTTAAACTGTCAATCATCCACCCACTACGAACGTTTATTTTTGTAATTACTTCATTTTCTTCCAGTGAAAATTCATGTTCTGACACAAATATTGATTCAGACTTTGGTTTTTCGCCGTGAATTACAAGTTTCCCACTTCGATACTGTATAGAAATTCCACCTAAAACTGGCCGATCATCCCACCTTCTTATCCACAGCTTGAAGTTTATTGGTCTGTCATTTATATCCTTGCCATCTTCCCAAGCTTCAGCAAACTTTTCAAGAACATGATGCTCTTGACCACCACAAGCAAAACCTTTTCTTCCAGTTTGGAGCGTTTTACGACGGTTTGCAAACTTGCGATCTAATAGTTCTGATTTCATGTTTGATTCAGCATTAATGGCATTCTGAAGTAAATCACAATTCAGAATCGGATAAAGATCGACAACTGATTTCAAATCTTCGGGGTTGTTTATATCACTGAAACGGATTTCCCCAAGCAATTCGAGTACGGTAGCTGCTTTGAAATCCTTGTGACTTACACTCGCAATACTAAGGTACACACCAACTAGTTTCAAAATATCTAGTTCAGGATTTTCTACAGGAACATCATGATCAAAAACAGTCAAATAATCAGTCTGTAGCACTGTTTTAAAGTCGTCTGTCGATAATTTCAAAAATGCTCCACTATTAATAAGGTCTTTAAAATTTTTGGAAATACAACTGCATACTGCGTCCAAAAGACGTTTCAAATTGAACAGATTACTGAAAGAAACTAGAGCAATCACATTATCGATTTCGATATTATGTGTCATGAACTTTTCACATTCGGTCAGAACAAATCTAATTTGGAGAAAACCTGCTGCCATTAGTAATTCTTGAACAAATCCAACTTCTATTTTAATTCTACCAGTGTAACCATATCGGATAATTTGATAAAGAGTGTCCTCTTTGAAAATACTAGGATCTAGCTCATACTCTTCAATATGATTGTCACTTTGAATGTTATGATATTTGAAAAGATTTTTGAAATAGTCGGATAATGACGCCAGAACTATTTTATGTGCTGTGATTTGTTTTGTTCCACATTTTAAGGTAACATCACAGTACAATCCTTCTTCCCATGCTTTTAACATGTTCTGTACTGTGCTTCCAGAATGTTTGTCGTCTACAACCTCTGCCATCTTTCCTTAGAACTCTTAAGCTGAAGTGGAATCAATTACATGTACTAAGTTATAATATATTGTTGCTTTTTAAGTATGGATAGTAAATTAAAAGACTGATAAATTCAACCAAATAAAGATGACAAGCATAGTAGTGTTAGGTATGTGGTATAAAAATTGAAAATCAATTGCCAACAATGAAAAAACAAATAATGCAAATCCTGTAGTGCTAAGGGCCTGTGATTTTCGTTCATGAATTGTTTAGGGATAACTGTTGAAACGAAAACAATAAAAAAAGTAAAATGCTCCGCGGGGTGCAGCTAGATACGATCACAGAGGTCGAACCATTAACAGTTGGGACTAGTATGGACACTACATTCAAGCTTGATACAGCTCTGAATTTGGAATGTGATCAAATATTTGACAAAGCATAGGTTTCTGACACCAAATGAATGTGTTCAAAGAACTGAAAAATTTGAAATTGGACTTTTACCTTTTATGGTCCAATATTTAAATCTAAGTACACAGTTAGGTTCAGCATATCAAAGTACACCAAAAATTTATTTGATTTATTTATCAATCTTAGCTAAGTTTTTTAAAGGGGTTCACTTTATCAAAAAAAATAAATAGGGAATGTATCCATGGGACACAGCTGATGCCCCCGCTTGCATATCATATAAAGTTATAAAGGGACATAACTGAAGAATGGTAAAAGTGACACCACCAAAATTCAAACTTGATCTGTATTTTGTGGGAATAAGCATTGTGTATAAGTTTCATAACATTTGGTTGAGGCAAACTGAAGTTAGAGAACGGAAACGAAACAATCAGCAATTTTTCCATTTGTAAAGGGGCATAACTCTAGAACGGTTAAAGTGACGCCACCAAAATTCAAACGTGATCTGTGTTTTGTGGTAATAAGCATCATGTGTAAGTTTCATAACATTTGGGTGAGGCAAACTAAAGTTAGAGAACGGAAACCAACTTTGCGTACGTAAGGATTTTTGGCCAACAATCAATAGATATAAGAAGATGTGGTATGAGTGCCAATGAGACAACTCTCCATCCAAGTCAAAATTTATAAAAGTAAACCATTATAGGTCAAAGTACGGTCTTCAACACGGAGCCTTGGCTCACACCAAACAGCAAGTCCCTCTTAACTAATAAAGGGTAACATTTTTCAAAAGATCTTATCTTATGTGAAGACTGAAGACAATAAAATAATCAATTATCAAAATAAAGTTGCCAAAATATTTAATAACTTTTTATAAATGTTGCCAAAGATATCAACTCAAAAGATACAATTATCATGATTATTGATGAACACCATCCAAGCATTAAGTAATTAAAGAAAACAAATCAGAAAAAAAGAACTATGTTTTAGCCCAGTAAATTCTGAGTTTGTAAAAAAAAAACAGATTAATAAAACTGATATTAAAAAGGCAACAGGAAAAGATGGAATTTCTTCAAAAATATTAAAACTATCCAATTTCTAAATTAATAAATAAATCATTTGAAACAGCTGTTTTCCTAAATAAATTAAAGGAAGCCCGTTATACCTCTGCATAAAAAATCAAACACTCTAGATAAAGGAAACTATAGACCTGTAACATGTGTTAGTTTATTGCCCATGATTTCAAAACATTTTGAGAGGTCTATAGACAATGATAGAAACTCAACTTGTTGAATATTTTAACTCTTTTTTCCACATTTTTCTGTCAGCTTTTCTAAAAGGATATGGACGTCAAACAGCTTTATTAAAAATAATTGAAGATTGGAAAAAAGGCTTTAGATCAGAATAAATATGTAGTGGCTATATGAATGGACTTGTCCAAGGCTTTTGATTGCCTACACCATGACCTCTTCCTACTAAAATTAAAATCCTATGGTGTCTCCGCCTCTTCTCTTAAACATTTGGAAAGTTATTTAACTAATAGAAAACAGTGTGTTAAAGTAGGTTCTAATTCAAGCTACTGGCAATCAATGCTTAAAGGGGTGCCACAAGGGTCTATATTGGGCCCTACATTATTTAATATTTTTTTAAATGACATTTTCAATTTTATTCATAAAAGTGAACTCTATAATTATGCAGATGACAACACCCTTTCATATGCAAATAATGATTTAGATAAATTAATTAATACTCTAGAAGATGAAAGCAAAATTTTGATTAATTGGTTCTCAATAAATAAAATGAAAGCTAATCCAAAAAAATTTCAAGCGATAGCTGTAGGTAAAAAAACTAAAGACAAAAACTTCAAATTTAATTTAGAAGGTATTGAAATAGAATGCGAAAATAAGGTTAAACTCTTAGGAGTTACAATAGATTTTAAACTAAATTTCAATGAACATGTTTCTATAATATGTAAAAAAGCATCCAGACAGCTAAATGTTTTAAAAAAGAATTGGAAAACACCTTTTTCTTAACAGTTTATTATTCTGTCCAACTATAATTACTGCCCACTAGTTTGGCACTTTTGTGGGGAGGTTAATACAAAAAAGATTGAGAAAATTCAAGAGGGAGCACTTATTATCATATGATTTATTTATGAAGACTATTCAGCAAGTTATGAAGATCTACTCTGCAAATCAAATTTACCATCTTTAAAAAATTAGAAGAATGTGATCATTGGCTATTGAAGTTTTCAAAAATATTAATAAAGATTGTCCTGTTTATCTCCATGATTTAATCCACTTAATGGAAAACCCTTACTCTTTAAGATACCAGAATACAGCAGACCTACCACATGTGAGAACAACTGCATATGGCCTACAATCTTTAAGGTATGCAGGTGCTAAGCTTTAGAATGAGCTGCCAGATGAGCTACCCAAGCAATCATCTTTAAATCAATTCAAGAACTTAAAAAAATTTTGGTCTGGCAGCTCATGCCAATGTTTCGCCTGCAAAACCAGTTAATTCTGTTCATTATTTTTGGTTTAATGTTTTTTTTTCAGCATGGCAAAATTATTTTGTTTTGTTTACTATAGTGCTTCTGCTATTTTGTGCTTATTGTAGTTACTTAACTAATCTCTATGTGCAAACCATTTTACTTTTGCTTTTATGTTTTTACCTCATAAGTGCATGCTTCAGTGTGTGTGTTTAAGATGCTTTATAGAACTTTTGTGTTGCATGTATATAATATGAACTCTTGCTTTCTTTGCATGTTTAATTGTATGTGTGCATGACTTGATATGTATGTTTTGTTTGTTGTGCTTTTGTTATGTCGGTTTTAAAAGCTCATCAAAAAATATGTATGTAATTGTATTGCTTATACCGACTCTAAAAGCTTTTTGTCTTATGTCTGACAGGTGAGCCAAAAAAAAAGGGGGGTCCATTCTAGGGAGTCTAAATAATGTGTTTAAGAAAAAGGTGTTGTGCTATCTTTTTAAAAAAAAAAATTTATTCAAGATACTAATTAGAGCATTTTTATAAGATAAAAGAGTTTAAATTTATGATCATGATGAATTGAAATTCTTATAAGGGTGTGTGTGGTGTCCATGACCACTGATGATAGGGCATTTCAGTGGTTAAAAATCAATGTGATTTTTCTTTCCTTGTTATAAATGAACTACCGCCACGGCAAAACTAACAAGACTAGTCTATAATATATAACTATATACTTACCTGTCCTTCACATGATTTCAATATATTGCGCAATACCGGATATCTTACAATAAATTTTGTATTGCTAAAATACGGAAACGAATACGTACTGAAAAATGAAAACTTGTTGATTACTTGATATTTGTTTTGTTTGTTTGTATTTACATTTTGCAATTTATTCTAATGTGTAAAGTACTGGTGCTAAAATATGGTAATTTAAGGTACGGTTAGGCATCAGACATTATATGTTCCCTAAAATAAGATCAAATAATAGCCTAAAGCTTTTAAAAGAACTTACATCTTTGATATGGTTTTAACGTCACAGTACCTCGACTACCAAATATTTAACAAAGCTAAATACATTTTAAAAATGTTCAGAAAACGGTCGCATTATATATCAATTAACAGATGAAGTCTCCAGTGACAAAATAAGATTTACAGAAACGTTGCATGCGACGTCTACAAAAGGTTTACTTTTAAAAAGGAGAAATTTAAATATGTCGCAGACATCCATTTCATACGAAATGAATAACAAGCATGGAATACTGACATATTGTTTAAAACATGTGAAGGAATAAAACAAATCATTAGTTATGTACTATAGTTAAGAATGATATATGTAAAAGTTTTCTGAATTATTGGAGAGATTTTAGAGAAAATACTTTTAAATCAGATAAAGCTAGGTAAACTCTTGGCTTATTTTTCAATTAAACCGATTTTTTTGGTACAGAAAAATATCTGGAATTGAAAGAATTTAAAAATAGACAAGCACTATGCAAGATCAGAATGAGTACACACCCAGGCTAAAAATAGAGACGGATAGATGCAAAAAAAAAATATATAGACAAATCTTAAAGATTATGTAAAAAATGCACGTTTGATAAAGTTGAAGATGAAGAATATTTCATATGTGAATGTCCCCTTTATAATCTCTCGAGAAAAGAGTTATATGATAAAATTTGAAAGTTGGAAAAATTTCGAAATATTAAACACAAGTGCCAAGTCAATCTAATATTAAATATAGATCTCTGATTTCGTTATACTACATGTAGTGTAACGAAATCAGAGATCTATATTTTAATTAGATTGGTGCCAAGTTTAATTGGATTTTTATTCAAGAAAACCTAGTGGTATTGAAAATTATTGTAATTTATATTAATAAATGTTTTGAACTCAGAAAACTATGATATCAATATAGTACAGATATGTTTATATGTAACTCATTAAGAATGTTTGCCTGTTAATATTGTATTTAAGTGTTATGGACTCTGGTCTGGCTGTGGTTAAACTATATATGATTGTCAAAATTATTGTGTCAATTATCAAAATCATTGTAATAAATTACTTTGATCTTCATAACAGAATCTTGGATCGTTTGGAGGTCATTTTTCTATGATTCAGTACTGATTCAAAATTAAATCTGTGGAACCAAGGACCGTATATGTTAGTTATACGTCCTTGGTGGAACTATATATAGTAAATAAGGATAACTGAAAAAATAAACTCAAAATAGAAACTTTTGTCTGTTTCTTGAATAAACGTAGGTGGAAAAACTTTCAAAATAGGTGCAATTTGGGAACCCTCATGTTTTACAAATGATTGAAGAGCAGCCAAACTTATTTAGGATGCTGAAACTATACATCAACAACAATTTTGTTATTTGTTTAAACAGTACTGCTATGGTGTGTGAATGTATGGTATTTTACCTTGTTCATCTGTAATAATGGCTTATTTACAGAAGCCGTTAAGTTATATGAAGTTACGGGACACATACATGTGTTATATCACATAGTTTCAAATGAGACAATTAAGTGTCTGCATTAATGGTTTATTTACTAAAACTGTTATGAGGATGTGAAACACATATTTTATATCCGTCATAGATGTCTTAAGGATAATGTACTCTGTTTCAATGCTAAACATAAAGAAATTTTATAATAAAAAAAACCGCTGCCTTTCTCCTTGTACTCCAATATTTGACAATTCGGTGCTTTTATAATAGATATATATATAGAGAGGATTGTTGCATGCAGTGCAGTGCTGACAAGGATTTCCCTAAAAGAAGTATACAAATAAAGATATTGGTTGAAACAAGTATATTTATAACCAGGGAGATTTGGACAAATGTGAAATAGAAATAAAACTAATTCCGACAATATATTTTAAGTGCTATAGTGACAATTTATCAATCCGTTTATCAAACCTTTTACATTTCTTTGTGTTTAATTAATTCTATTGTTAAATATATGTTTGTCGTAATGGAAATCACTCTGACGATGACAAGTTAATCCTTTGGACACTAATCCTTTGCTATAGTAACTGTTTTCTATATATGCTTTTGTATGTTATTTTGTAGTCAGTTTAGGTCTTAGGTCTGGTACTGTCCGGACCTTGCTAATAAGTTTAAAGTATTGGTATTCCGTCTTTGAATTACTATAACACGGAAAACGCCCGGTTATATATTCAAAGTACTGAAGTTACAGTACTGAACATCGGATGACCGCAAGTTCTTGTGGATGGTCACAAACACTTGTCTCGGGAAAAAAAATCACATCTCTATACCTGAAAGTGAAGTTAATATACAGAGATATATTTTTTCTGAGACAAGTTCGTGCGTGGATGATGAATAAATGAAAGGGAATTCAACATCACCGTAATAACTATTATATTGTAGTGATACAAATCAGTTTACTTTGATTTGTTGTTATATATTATATTAATATTTGTATATAACAGTTACATGTTTATATAATTTTCATCCATTTGTATATCATTCTATTCTACTCTTCTGTAATAATTCGATTTTTCTAATAGATTGGATTTGAGTAGGCATTCATATTTTCCCGCAAAACGTTCTCGAGATATTCTTCCGCATGCGTTAACACAATTTTTCTGTACGTGTGCATAGATATTAATGAGTTTTTACTTATATATGTATATTTCTAACGACAAAACATTTTCATATTATTGATTTATGTTCTAAAAAAAACATTTTTATGAGTATTCATTAAAGAAATGAATTTATAACAAGCGATAAGGAATGTTATTTTGCACTCGATAATGTCCGCGTATTTATAGATCGGTTACCAGTCAAAAACGAAAGTTACGTAAGTAGAAATCTCTGTGGCAACAATACATCGGAATGCCCTCACGGTCATCGCGATCTAAAAATGGACTTATTTGAGTGCGCCATCTAGGGTGCGCTTCACTTTAAACACTCAGCACGAGTTTTTTTTATTGTAAATGTTGTTTAGGACTTTTTGTAGACAATAAACTCTACTGAGCACATCATGGAAAAATAAGTGAGGAATCTATGTTTAAAATTATTTAACGAAAATCTCTGTAATTATTTTAAAGCCTGGGATTTTTTTCAAAAATCTTGGCTTTATTTGCACCAAAACCTCATTTTCTATTAAATGCAATGAAACATTTAACCGTATTGCTTTGAACAACGTTTCCCTTTGGTATATGTACAAAATGGTACGTCACTTTTATTGTGTATTTTTACTGTTATTGATATTGATATTGTAGCACTATAAGGGGGTCACAAACCTTAACATGACATTTCATTTTGTTGTTTGGCTGTTGTCTCATTGATGTATACCCAATTGTGGATTATTAATCACTAGAATTTGGATCGTTCTGTTTATATTTGTGGTACATGTATAAATGTTTTAATTCGGGGGTGATCCAAAAGGGGTTAGAAGGCGTACGGCCCCTCCCCCCATTTGATCGCCATTTTTTTCAAATTATTTTTGATCACGATATATAAACACATATAAAACATTTGTTTTTCTATTATATAAATCATCACATATGTATAATATCCATGATCATTTAATCACGTGGTTATTTAAACTCTACAGGTCTTTGCACGGACTTTTTTGCTATCTGGTCAGCACATTTGTATGGCAGTTGTTTATAGTTCCGTTACGTAGACAAAATTTGGAGAGCAACCCAAACAGACATAAAAGATTATACATTATTGTATCTGTCCAAATTATGTTACACATGACAGCTATTGTGTCGGGAAAACTCCAAGCCTGATCGTCAAGGTCAATTTTTTTCTTCCAATTATGTAATCAGTCCTTGAAAGCGGAAGACATCGCATTACTTCGAGAACTGAACAAAAATACCAATGAATGTTAATAAACAGGGACCAACAGCGAAACAAACAAAGCAACAACAAAACCCACTTAAAAACTTTAACTTCAAATCGAAGGGATACTTCATGTTATGGGCATAATCATTCAGGCGGATAACCAGTTAAAATTAAGGTTTATGACTCCTTCTGTAGCCATTTGAATTGCGAAATTTTCAAACTGCAATAGTATCAAAACAGCAAATATAATGAATAATAGAGATAGGCCATTTTATACGTATTCCAAGGGGAAACTTCGTGCAAAGCATTATTATTTATTGTTTCATTGCATTTAATAGAAAAAGGGGATATTGTGGCAAATAAAACCAAGATTTTTGTAGAAAATCCACAGACTTTAATACAAAGATGTTTGTCATAAAACTTTAAACATAGATTACTAACTTGTTTTTCTATAATGTGCTAGCGTTTATTGTTTACAAAAAGTCCTAAACAACCTTTAAATTCTGAAAAAAACTTTTGCTGCGTTACTAAAGTCGCGAGCGCACCCTAGAAGGTGTACTGAATTGTGTCCATATTTAATAATAATAATAAATTCTTTATTTAACGAAGGTAACTCATTTAACATACAATTGTTAATCTCACACGAGGCCTTCACACATTAAAATGAACAATTAATACATATAACAATCAATGCATATAACACAATAATCAATAGAGATGTACACAATTACAAATTTATATACACAAGCATGAAAACAGACTGTAGAACTAGCATGGCAAGAATGTCCTAAGAAAAAAAAAAGTTTGTCTACTCATTTTGTTTTGTGAAAAAAAGATTAGCACATTTCACCTTAAAGCTTTCGATATGACTTGAATCCTTTATAACATTTGGCAAACTATTCCAAATAATTAGACCAGAATATTGAAAAGTCTTTTTGAAGTATTCAGACTTTGGCCTTGGTAAATGAAGATGTCCAGATGTTGTTGACCTAAGAGAATAACTATATAGATC